TCGTCGAACCAATAAGTCTCCAACAAGAGGATGATTTGTCAAAATTTATAAAATAAAAAGATAAGTAGTTTTTAGTTTGGTCATTCCAATCCAGTAACGAACAGTGCAAAAACTTCGTTTTAAAACCCGCAAAAAAAAAAAAAATGTATTTTTTTAAAATTTGAACTTATCGAAAAAGTAACGCTTACTTTTTCAAGTAATGACCAATTTTCTTTTCTTCTCAAGTATTCAAGCAATCTTACTGAATACTTTTTAACCAAGAGTAAACGTAATTCTGGTCTATTCCTTCGCAATGTTACAATTTCACAACGTCACAATTTGAAGGAAAAAAATTTGTATAAACGATGACATGAAAGTTTAATGTCCCAACTCGTTCCCCGTTCCAGCTCCACGGTCAGACACGAACTGTGGTGAACATCGTGACGTCATTAGTGTGACGTCACCATCGATTGTATACATCCCAGGCGCCGACACGAGAACCACGAGAGCTCGCCCACCTAAATGCTAAAGGAAGCCTGCGACACCTAAAGAGGGCGCGCCGATCCAACTGATGTTCCCGCCAAACAACTCTGTTGGGAGCCACAGCACGGCGCCACTGTCTTGTCGCACGCTTCCCATTATCACTCCGCAGCCAATCACATTGCGGCGTTACTCATTGTGAACGCCGAAGTACGAATCAGGCAGCGAGAAGCACGAACACAAAAAGCCAAACTCTGCCTTTCTTAAACTGGCGACGTCTATACACCTATACACTGTTTACAAACAATCCCGCGTTTGCCCACATTGGGTGTGACGACAACATGTAGAAATCAAGGCCTGCACGCCCGCTTCGTCACGTCACTGTAGCTAGGCCAGCGAGCGGAAAAGCGACAGCCGGCTGTGCGCTGGGCTCTGCTGTGCCGGCGCGCTGGAGGGACGGCTTGTAGCTTCGATTGGAAATATTGCGCGGTTGTCAGTTACCCGTGAATGACGACTACGTAATTAGTGGAATGACAACTTTTATAAATAGAGGTCCATATAAAACTTGCACTTTTAGGGTTTACTATTTAAGACGACGGAAAACACTTGTGGTACAATATAAGCGACGACGCCCTTTCTACAATTATGTAACTTGATCTCCTTTATAAAACCGAAGGGCTGCTCTGCAATCACATATATTTTAATTTAAAACATACTATTGACGTTCAGGCTTACCTCACAAGTAGAAAATATGTGAAATAGTGTTTAATGCGTAGCCGGTTGGTTCCCTGAAACAAAATAAAATTAACCGCACGCTCTTTAGCACCTACCACCTGCGGGACGGCCACTTTTGTATTAAAAAAAATCTTCGAAAATAATTGACGGGGCGCTACTGAAGTCGTTTGTTTTATTAAAAAAAAATTAGGTTTAAAAGAGCGAGACACGAAAATGCGACATAAAATTTGACTGATATAATACGTGTCAGAAGGCCATCGTGTTGTGGGCTTGGACGGATTGCTCGTCCACTTGAGTGAAAACAAAGACGACAAAAATGGCTGTGATTGAAGAGCGCGGCTGCAAAGCACGCTCAACAATTCCGACAATCAGTCTCATCGCGGATCCTGTTGGACCCTGTAAATAATGTACATAAATATGTAAAGCCACGTCTTTGGTTCTTACAGTGTAATCTGACAAAATGTGTAGTTTGTCTCATGAGACATTTTCCGTTTTGCCTCCGTCTCGGTTTTTACTATGTCTGTTTACAGAGATGCCAAGGTTCCTTCACATTTTTTTTTCAAAGATAGTGATTTTTTATTTGGCTGGAGCAGACCTTGCATCCTGTACTAAGGCATTATTTTCCCCCTTGCAAGTATCGTTGGGAAAGAATTTTAGTCGACAAGGTGAGGATGCGTGTAAACACTGCTTCAGCTGTGTGGTTGCTTGCACAAGTGTGCAACTCTTTGAACTCTGGCAGCGTAGTTAGCGCCAGGACCCTTACAACCTTTCGTTGATCACGTAACCGCAAAAACTCAGCAATATGGTGGGACGACATAAGCTCATTCACAACAATTTCAGCGTGCATCACCACCCTGTTGACCAGCTACGTTGGAAAGTGCAGTCCACCTCGATTCAAAGCATCTCTCAGATGATGAACCATTGCATTATGAGGACGCGCCTCCTTCAAAACCCAATTTTCTGTGCAGTATTGAGTGTTCAGTTTCTTCACAGCCCCAGAGGCAATGTATCCAGCTACGTAGGTCAGAATAGAAGACTTGGACGAAAGAGCTGTTAAATCATAGTCTAGCACGACTTGTTGTTAGGGTAGTTGGTTCGTGGTACTGAGTCAACTTGTGTGCGCAAACACAGAGGACGAATACGAAGGATTGGCCAAGGACAAGCGCATGTCCTTGTTTGCTCCTTCGTGTTCGTTCTCTGTGCTTGCGCATACCAAATTTCTCAGTAAATCATAGACGGTGATGTCGAATGCGAAAGCTAGAACAGAAAGCGAAATAGTATGCGCAGATGACTGTCATGCTAAAACTAACAAAATATATAAAAAAAACTCTGGAAATGCTAAGAAATGCTAAGTCGTTCTAAAAATACCTATTATGCCTCGTTGAGACAACGGAAAATAAGGGAGTTCTTTCCTCTACCATCATTTTCCCGGGCACAATGGCCATTCGGAAGTGCAAAAGTACAAGGATAAAACTAAAGCCGCGTTCTCACACTTACGCTTTCTTAGGACCGAGCTCTTATGACATCTGACGACGAGAGAATGCACTGCTACGAAGGCGCCATCTCTGTCGTGACTCTGGAACTGCATTTCACTATAGCGAAGATTTTACAGGACTTAGAAGATTTAACGTCCTACTGGATCAGCTCAGTTTGTTTTCTGTGCATTTATACGCTATAAACGAAAAAAAAAAAGAAAAACGTTCGGGATTATTATAAATAATAGCATTGCGAAAAGATTTTTTTTTTTTTCAGCCAAGAGAGAACGATGCACGAAACAAATAGGAAATACACGGAATAGCCAAGCGTTCCACGGCTACTTGATAGGTGGCGCCAGTATGTTTTCTCGTCTTGAAATTTTAAGACGTTTTAAAATACATTGTCGTAAGCCATCGCAAATATGTAAACAAGCGTTTAAAGTTGCCAAACCAACGTAACTTCGAAGAACTCGTAACTTCGACTTTTGTTCTCCGGAACTGCCGCGTGCCTTTGCTCGTCAGTTGGAAAGGAAGATATTTGGACCATCCGTTTTCCGGCATTAGTTTCCTGACACCACGGCTTGCAACACTTGCAAGGCATTGATCCTCACATTCGCTCACACGAGGGCTCTAACGATTCTGGTCGCCGACGGATGCAGTGAACACGCAGGCGTGTTGTCTTGGTAGTTCGAACGACTTTCTACGTTGCCCGATGGCGCACCTAATGTCTTGCTTTCCATCCTTTGCGAGACGCCTGCAGTTTAATAAAGTTGAGTTGACACGCCCCGTAATCTTCTTTCTTTTTTTTTTTAGTTTAACGCGAGAGCGTTAAGGAGCTTGTGTCGCGCAGAAAAGCTGGCGTCGGTGGGACGAAAAAATCCTGATTGGTCGATAGAGTCATGACGTGCCAGCCACATGACCTCGCGCAGGAATTTTAAACAACCCTCAACGCTCACTTGAAACGTGACGTCACGCGTTGAATGAAAGCGATAAAACGTGACATGTAATGCGAATTAAAGGTCGCCGCATATCTCAAGTCATTTCCCTTTATAAAGTAATTCATTTGCTTTCAAGAAAAAAACAAACAAACAAACAAAAAACTGACGAATTTTAGGCGGGTTTCAAAACAACGACCATTCGATTGCGTGTCAGACACGCTACTGACTACCCCACGCATGCACTTTTCTTTTCTTTATTGCAAAGGTGAGTAGCAGAAGTCACATAGCAATAAAAATGCACTGCAAGACTTTTACAGGGCATATTAAAAAGCGCGAACTTCACGAAGCCCTTTACGGATGCCGAGCCACTCAGGCTTGGACTCGAGGGTGGAAAAAACGCTTTCCACTTGCTCAAGTAGGCAAAAGAAATAAAAGCGCACTTCTTTCGCATTGACATGGGCGTGCCTGACTGCAATGCGCGATCGCCATATGCTACAAAATTCCCCCCCCCCCCCCCCCAAAAAAAAAAAAAAGACTTATTGTATTTGACACAGTCATCGTTGGTCACGTTCAAGAGACGGATGCCTGAAGGGGAATTGCTAAATTGCTTTTTCAAAGTGCGCTAGAGCGCGCCCCCCCCCCCCCCAAAAAAAAAATAAATAAAAAATAAAAACAACAACTGCGTTTTTGCAAAAAAAAAAAAAAGAATACATGCTGGATGGTTTTTGGTTGTTTGCATAAAAGACAGTCAGTCGACCATGGCGAATCTACGCCTCTTTCTCTAAGCCACGCTTTTACGGGCAAAATATCCTCACGTAGTTTGAAAAAAAAAACAAAAAAAACTTTACAGAGGGTGGAACACACATACGCTTACCGAGCTTCAGCATTACGCTAGGCATGAACGCTTGCACGGCTTTCGCGTTCCCCTCTTAAGCGTCCTCCTGTATATTTTTAAGTTAGATTTCGTCATTACAATTTATAACACACTCCCATCCTTGACGCTCAGGCGGAACGCACCGGAAATAACAGCGCATGAAAAAAACACAATGAAGACAAAAGTATCTCTTAAGCATCGACGCTGATGTTTGGCGGTGAAGACCCTCTGCTTGCTCTCCACGCTTGGCCTAGGAGCAGTGACGTAGGTGACGTAACAAAATGAAGCTCGCAGGCTTTAGGATTGGGCATTGCGCGTGTGCGGAAACCAGATTCGCGTGAGGCGAAGCTTCTGCGCATGCGCAGTGCCGACAGCAGAGCCACCGCCGCGGCGCGACGTCGGAGAGTCGAGTTGGTGTATACGCGTTGAAATATTGTTTTGTCATTCCAACACTCGATTATGGCGCTTAGACAACCAGTGTGTTACACTGTTTCTTTTTTCCTCTTTTTTCTTTTACAGAAATATATCCGAAGGCGCCTCCGAAATCGCCGATCGCACGGCGAGCGCAGTTCGCCGCATCATTCCGTGCGACGTCCTCCGGGATCCGATGTTCTCCACCAAGCAAGGCACGTTCGACTGCATCGTGACGTCACTCTGCTTGGAAGCTGCGGCAACAGACGTGACCTCTTACGCCGACGCGGTGTGTCGCGTCGTGGGCCACCTCAGAACGGGCGGCACTCTCGTGATGATGGGCGTGCTCGGTTGCGACTCGTACGCCGCAGGAGGGCTCGAGTTGCCGTGCTTGAGTCTGACGACGGACGACGTGCTTGAAGCCGTCAGGCGTTCCGGCCTCACGGACTGCAGGTGGAAATTCGTGAACAAGTGGCCCGGACTGGACGACGACGTGAACGGGAACGGGTGGACAGGCGCTTTCATGTTGAGAGCCTTGAAAGGGTAGCGACGATGTTCCAACATTGGTAGTTCATCGCGAATATTAGCGTGGCGATCGTTTTTCGCTGTCTGTGGCGATCCCAGAGTCAGAAAAGCACTCCACGCAAGAACCGAGACTTTATACGGTAAGCGGAGCCGACAAGGCACTGGCCTGAAATCTGAGAGTAACTGACTGCCTAAGAAACTCAGGGCTTGATTAGTTTCCTATCGGCTAAGGCCGCAGTATCATTGGCCATGTAAATATAATGGTATGATTGGTAATAGCCACGGCCCGCATTTTTAAGGTTTCCGCAACTTTGGTATATTTCAGTTCAAAAGGAGCTGGACAACCGAGGTAGACGTATACCAAAGACAAGCACTTTTTGCTTCGTGAGCATTTGTGATATTCTATGTTGCACCATGTCCAGAAAATAGCCGTTCCTTCTTTTAAAGCCTTTTTAATGACGTTATACAAGAGACTAGATGTCTCATGCGCTGCTGATGGTAATTATTCCCTGCTTTCTCCAAGAATGTTTGTTTTATGCGTGGCTTCACTGCTATGTCATTCGTTAGTGGTGGTACACACGCGTCTGCTACCGGTGGGCATACTGGTTTTACATTCAAACTATAGTCACAAAATTTATGATATCTTTTTCTTCACTAACGTGTGAAACATATTAATGTTTACAGGGTAAACGTTTTTGCAATGTGCAGTTTACCTGCGAGCGGTGAGGGACCTCTGAGGAATCCTTGAACATGCCGTTAATATTGAGTATTTCGCCGGGTTTTCTGAGGGTGTGTGAGTAGCGCTTACAGCCTCGCCTGATGCCTTTGGAAACATGGCATTGTTATATGTCCGATTAAAACGACAACATCGATTTCCACGTTTAGTTAGTAGGAACGTAGCTTTCGTTAGTAGGAGAAACAATTCAGCTCCATTTATTCGCGAGTTTTGCCTTGCGTAATTTTTACAATTTGAATGTTTGTTCTTGAAAATGAAGTCTAACGATTGAAACATATACCGTATGTTCGGAAGTGCTCGCATTTTATCACAGCGGCTACCGTATTATTCCAGTGTAATCTCTTTTCAAGAATACCTTCTTCGCATATACGGGAAGCAAAACAAACACCGACCGCGTTCCTTGCCGATGCTCGGTGTATGCATTTTTGAAAACCGTCCGGCGTTTGAAAACGGTCCACACTACAGCTTGTTTTGGAGCGCTAGTCGGGAATAAAAAGATTAGTAATAATAAGCTAGTCAACAAAGTGCTATGGAACTTTTCACAAAGGTGTTTTTAGGTAGTTCATTGATCCCATTCAAATTTCGTGAGCGTAGGTTTCTGGTAAAAACATTTAAGAAAGTAAAAACGTGTTTCTTCTTACGCAGAAAGAAAACAGTAGCAAGCCGTCGTGTTGGCGCTGCTACAGATTCATGGAACCGCATGATAAAAAAATCTGTAAGCTTCTTAGGGATTAACGCCTTAAAGCTTACCCAGCGGATGCCGAGAGTGTGTGGTATAATATGTGAGTAGCAGCGTCAACCCGACGGTTTGCTTCTGTTTTTCTCCTGCGCATAGGAAGTAACAACTATTTTCTTTTCTTGTACTTTTCCGAGTAACCTACTCTCGCGAAATTTGAGTGTGATCAATGCACTGCGTAAAACAGATTTGAAAAGAGTTCCATGGCACTATATTTACTGGCTTATTTATACGAATATGTTTTACTCTCGCATAGCGCTCGAGAACACCCCATATATCCACATTCACTGTCTTTCAGAATCGCAATTTTCCAGTGGCAATAGAATGTTCGAACAAATAGTCGCTATTTCTGTGAAGTTAATACACATATTTGAGCATCCAAACACATACATGGAGACCTGTTGTAATACAGCTTTCCAGATGCGGGAACTTGCGCTGCAGCCAGCTGTAATCCTGACAATAGAAAGACTCTAAGGTCTGGCGCTCAAAAATATACTTCCGCCTTCGCGCATGAATCTTGCGTGCCGAGAAAGGTTATCTGATTCTCCAGCATTTAATGGCTGCCGCGCTTGTGCAGGACTTGCCATCTACAAACTTTTGGTATGTAGCTAAGTTTAACACTAAGTTTATCACCCCCGGATTGCTTTCATTTAATAAAAAATAAATGTCTAATTATCTTTCGAGCAACATCTAGCTTTTTAGGGTGAGAGCTATTTGCTTATTTCCATGATAGTAATTTATTATAAAATTTATCGGTAAAATTAGGGGCGCAAAGTAGCCCTGTTTAAAACCTGTTGCTTCAGCCTTTCACGAACAGAGGCAAAGAACCTTAGGACGATTCCTCTCCTTATACACATGCGTTTTTTTATGTAACCTATTCTCCAAATTTAACTTAATGAATGATATCTTGATATCTTATAAGAACTATATCAGTGTTTAGTTTACTGAACGATGACGCGGATGGTTGTTACCAGTGCAGTTTTCACGTAAAATTTAAATTGTATTACTAGAATATAAGATTATTTTTGATCATAGGGCGGTACTCTATAGGGTATAGCCCATCTGTTGTGGCGTTTACTACATGTCAAAATGAATCCTGCTGGTTTTGGCGATTCCGCTGCGCCTGTGCACCCACTTTTGCCGATATATATATATATATATATATATATATATATATATATATATATGTATGTATGTATGTATTCTAAACGAAAAGCGGTGGGAGCGATTATTACGTTTTATTATATCAAAGTTAGGGAAAGGGAAAGAGAAAGACAGCTGGCGAAAATTGGGCCAGTAGCGGGGATTGAACCCTCAACCGGTGCGGAGTGGGGATCGAACCGGCCAATAAGGCCCAATGGAAATATCCTTACACTCATCTAATTTCAGAAATGTGATTTCTCGACATCGAGGTTTCAAATGCAAATCATCATGTGAGAGCTAAGGAATAAAATTGACGGTGTTTCTAAATTATGCATTTTTTTTAGCTTGATGTAATAACATTAATTCATGTTATTTATGATCTAAACCGATTCGCACGCATGCACTAATACGGCTGGCAAGTGTTCCAAAAATACGTCTTTGGCGCATCGGAGAGCAAGGAGAGGACCTCCAATCAAATGGGCAGAGAAGAGAACGCGCAGAAAATGCGCGGTGAAGAAGCAGCCAAACGAGAGCTGTCATTGGTTGAGGACAGGGGTAAACAAAGGCGCAAGGTGCACAAAGAGCAGACGAATGAGCATCGTACCGGCGTGCGGTCGTGTATCACTACTGCGTGCACGCTTTAAAAGTCTGTGCGTCTACTTTCACGCACAACACTCGGAGAGCCAATCACCTCAACTTTGCTCAGCGAATGAAGATGCCAAAACATATGTTTAGACCAAAAAACGCAGTCTGAGTTGTGACACTAAGCAATGCAAAACGTCACGCTCGCATTGCTTAAAGGGAAGATGGGGCACTTCTACATTTGAGAAAAAACGTTTGAATTGCGTTCATCTTGCCTTTAGAATGACAAATATCACAATTGTATTTCAATGCGATGCGCCGGAGAGCCATAAGAGCAATTTGAAAATAGGGCTGAAGCCCCGCCTCCCTAGCCTTGGCAAGCCAAATAATCCGTCGATGACGTCACGGCCAGCGACTGTCTTTCGCGTTTTTCTCGCGTTTAACAATACTTGTCCGGAAAATGGTTTTGGTATTCGGGTTCACGAGGTAAAAATACACTGGAATTTACTTCTAACTCATTTTTTTCAAGAAGCTCCGTAGCTTCCCTTTAATGTCACAACTCAGACTGCGTTTTTTGGTCTAAAAATATGTTTCGGCATCGTCATTCGCTGAGCTGACTCTGTAAGTTGAGGTGATTGGCTCTCCGAGTGTTGTGCGTGAAAGTAGACGCACAGACTTTTTTTTAGAGCGCAGGCTAGAGGTTGTACTGCACTGGCTAAATTGCTCATCTACAGCGAGTTACTCGCCACAACTTTAAATGGTTGACGAGCTACACGCTGTATAAATATCGACACAACCCCAAGTATTATTTAGAGCAGACGAAGTTGCGCGCTGTATACGTTTACGATTCAAAACATATAAAAACGTAAATTAAATGCACAAAATATTGCTGCTGCTTTTTTCGTCCGCTGGGGACACACGAACACCGTTTAACTAACTCAACTTATAATCCTTCAGAGTTTGCTTATTTAAACAATTTTTCACGTTGTAGAATATGAATTTATATTAAACCGAGGCAAAACATTTTCAGGTCAGCTTCATGAGGATAAGTGCCGAAGTCAAAGGATGACCCCAAACCTCACCCGAAAAACTTGGAGAAGCATTTCCTGTCTAATAATTTGTTTCGTTGCACTCATCTTTGTCCTCTCGTCGTGGCCACCGATATTTCATATCAGAGCCAGCGTAAATACCGTGTTATTCATGCATAAACGCCAAGCTTCAAAACGCATAACCATAAACCCCTTCCCTGGGGAATCAGTAAAAACAAGTTTGGGAGGCACTTCGACGCCAACCAGGGACCAACCCGAGAAAGACTTAAACCTAACAACTAAAAAAGAAAATGTGCTTTGGGAAAGGCAGAAGACATCCGAGTCAGTTCCACATGTCGACCCCGTCCCCAACAAGACAGCGCCTGTTAAAATTAAACGGATAATCGTGGTTGCTTACTTTCGATCAGGCTCTTCGTTTTTAGGGGAAATTTTATCACAAGCACCACGTACATTTTACCACTTTGAGCCACTCTACTTCTACGCGTCAGCAAGGGGTGCTCACGTTGTAAACATGTCGGCGGGACTGAACGTTTTAGGCGACATTTTTCGTTGCGACTTTCACGGTGCCCCTGACTACCTCGAGAGAGGAAAATCGTTCATTTATCCGTTCGCCGCCAACCGAGCATATTGGTTGTATTGCGGCGGAGAGATCGACGTCTGCTTCGACGCAGCAGTAATGTCGCAGTTTTGCCAGATGTGCACGATACAAGTCATGAAAGTGATTCGCTCGAGTCTTCGTCAAGTCCGCGAGTGGATTAACGCAAATACTGATATTGGCGGTACTGTAAAGGTGGTGCATCTGGTTCGCGACCCAAGAGGCATATGGTCGTCAAGGTTACGGCGCTCTGCGTGTCTGTACTCTAGCGGATGTCGCCGCATAGAAACGCTCTGCAGAAGGATGAGAGAGGACTTAGATGAGTTTGAAGATCTTAAGAAAGTTTTCCCTGATCTATTCGTTCAAGTTCGTTATGAGGATGTTGCCTTGGAACCTGCGAAAAGAGCTCGGCTGCTCTTTGATCAGCTGAGACTTCCTTTCACAGAGCAAGTTTCGCAGTTCATCAGAACACACACGAGACACGACCTAAAGAGGAAACCAAGGATGGCTTTCTCCACAAAAAGAAACTCGGCAAAGGCCGCTTTCCGCTGGACGCGAAGGCTGAATTACAGTCAGGCTGCTTTGGTTCAGAATGCTTGTCCCGATGTTTTCCGACGCCTCGGCTACCGTGTTGTAACGAGTGAAACGGAGTACAGACTTTCTCAAGGACCTTCCTTCGTGCTTCACGTCAACAGTGGAAAAAAATAGTACTTTCTGAGCGTTTATCTTAAGTACATATCAATGCCCGGGTGGTCTTTTCTGGATGAAATAAAATAAAGAAACAGAGGTGAAATTTTCCGAAAACATATATGCAATAATTAGAGCTGTAGCTTGTGTCCTTGGTAGTACAGTTTAATTTGATCACTTCCGACATTCGATATAATATTGAATTCTTGCTGGTTTCAAGATAATAAAACTCCTCGTTTCCATGGCTCGAACTGATACTTCGATATATATTTATTATTTGTTCACCCAGCACCTGGGATCTTTGGACCAAGCTCTGAATGTTTGTTTGTTTCAGAGTCAAAGTAAGCACGGGATGATTTGAGCATTGTAGGCGGAGAGAAGTAGCTAACAACAACAATAGTGGGACACTTCAAGTTTCAGGTAATACGAGAATTGCTCTCTGACAAGAAAAGAAATAGAGCTCTGTTCAAAATTGCGACTTCGGCTTAGGTACCGAAGCTACAGTTTAGTTGTAGCTAGTGGGTTTTATTACTAAATCGTAGTCTCGGGTTCAAAGAGCGCATTACCATCTAAGCATTTTTAGTTTATTAAATCAGTCAATAGGTATACTGTAAAACCCTTTATGTTCGCGAGCCCTCAATTTTTGCGAATTTCGCGAATTGAAGAATTTGCGAAATTTAAGGGCGCGCGAAAATTTCAGTCCTTAAGATTTTCAATGCAGGCGTCTGGAATTCGCGAAATTTAGTGGTCACGATCATGTCATCTGTGACCGATTCGCAAAAAATAGGGGCCGCGAAAATAAAGGGTTTTACAGTATTTTAGCGTTAAGCCGGTATTACAAAACAGAAGTCGTAGTTTAAATGCATTGTAACTGCGAAAACACTGAAAGTTTAATTTTATGCGTAATGCGGAACGTCCAGTCAATAATTTGCATTCGCGAAGTTCACGTGATAAGACCATAATGTGAGACAGCAAACTATTCTTGATGTTGCTATGTTCGTTTCAAGAGGAAATGTTGCTGTACCTCAACTCTCACGAATCATTTTATTTTTAAACCTTTCTGCGTACATCGGCGTCTAAGGAAATGAAATTATAACTGAACGGAGGCAGAAATATTCAAAAAATGATTGAATGCCCTGGCGAAACATGCAACCTTCTATTTAAATATTTAAATTTTACATTCGTGCATTGGTCCTCGATAGTATCCCTCATCACTGGCAGGCACCAGAGGTTAACTTAAAGCAATATTGTACACTATACATGATCAAAGCAGCTCAACGACAATGACGAAGTGACGAAACCAACACAACAGGACGAAGCAGTGTTTCATCGTACTTGTGTTTCGCTAAAGTCATGTTTCGTTGATGTCGTGTCTTATTTTTTCACTCTTTCTTCGTCGTTTGAGCTGTTTGCATCATGCATAGCATTTGTCAACTCACCCAATTCGCTTGATTAGTAAAAAAATATATACTACACTCAACAGCTGCAACGTTTTGCATGTTTTAGTCTTAAAAAAAAAAACACCCATTGCATCTTTCTATTTTACTCGAAATATAAACAAACAGATGTCACTTGAATAAGGGCTCATCTTATCAATGAAAACCTTGATCAATCTTGTGCATATATAACATTATTCTGCAGAAGAGACCAAAAACCGCCCGCAAAATGTGACTAGGAAGCGTCATCTTTTTTTGAAGAAGTAAGGTGTCCGATCTTATAAAAAAGAAAATTTCAAAGGCTATGGCAACTCATTCCTTTTTTAATCAGCTGCGTCCGCTGACTTGGCCAGCAATCTTAAACGCGTCCCGTGATTTGTTCGCAAAAGTGAAAACCATTAACATAGCCTGAGCCTCGCTCGCATAACGTAATCCTAAAGCAAACGTCGCAGCTGCTATTTGTTAAGCGAAATCACAGGTACGAACAGGGGCGGATATGAGGAGGAATGACGTGATGGAGAGGGAGACCCTTTCTTTAGGAACAATTGTCTCGGTTTTGTTTAAACGTTTGTTACAATGGCAATCATGAGGTTTACAAAATGGATCTGGGCAACGCTTCGCCCGTGACGTCACATCCGTCCGTGACTTGAGATCTCTCTGCAGACTTCGCGTCTGACCCATGAATCCATCCCTGGGTACACATACTTCAAGGAGCACCAACAATGCTTCGATCGGGTACGAGAGGAGCGGCACTCCTCAAGAGCTTATATCCCATCTTCATTGACCATTTGAGCCGTCACACGATATCGTCTTTGAGCCCGACCGTTCCAGAAGACGAGGTGCTGTGCCTCTTCCACGAGGAGTAGAATCGGTTGCTGCCGAGCAGCGTGGTGGTCGTCGTAAAACTGACGGCGCTGCCTCGCTTGCGCGAGGAGACGGGTTCCCCGAACTTATACGTGCTGGACCGGCGGCGGCCGTTGCTCTTCTTAACGGCTCGCATAGTCTGCCATTGCTCGACGTGATGCCGGACAGCTTTGCGCACCTAAAAATATAGAGATATGACATTAAACATAAAGTTAGCTGAAGATGGCGGGACGAAGTACAGAATAATCCTCCAGGAGACTCAACAACAAATCCCAAGGTTTGGCTAAGAGATTAGATGCATTCGGGACGCAAAGTCCCATTGTGTTCAAATGATGAGCCTTACGAAGTGTGTTGTGAGAATACACCTGAAGGGTTTCATATTGAAAGATTAGAAATGCGTTTTCCTTAAGGCTCAAAGAGAGTGAAACTTTGTTCGGTGTGTCCAGCTATTAAAAGGTCAACACGCTGGGCTACATTGTGCAGTGATCCTTAGCTAATTAGCTGTACACCGGCGGGATAGAAAATATACCCGGGTAGGACAACCAAAACAGGCTCAAGTGTTCACATACACGCAGCAATGCACCCGAGCATTTCCTATACTTTAAGAATCCGGCGTAAAAAAAATAATAATTTTTCTTTAAACTTAGAAGTCACGGAAACGTTCAAGCTGCAAAAACCAGTCTCAGAGAAAATTTTTATTTGTTCTTATTTCTAATACATTCAATCTATCAAGTCGTTTTAATGTAATGCATGTGCCGTATTTATTGAAATATGTTGGCACAGTTTTTGAGGAATTGCCATGCACAAATATGCTTGCAGTGCACAAGAGCCACCAAGTATCCTAATTATAGCGCATGAAACGGGAGTACAACTGGTATGCTTTCTCGTATTTTTTTGTGGCGTGTCTAAATTATTGTTTTATACTGTGGCCGAGGCTTGTGTATGTTTTCCAATCTTCGCCGATGCACCATACGAGTCTATACTGTTACCTATTTAAATCTTTTTCTCACAAGTTTAAAGACCACCCCACGAGCTACGCTTACTTTGTGTATTTACTACACCTCGCTCGCTCAAAAAAAAAATAAAAGGGGGAAAAAAAAGAAGGCCTGAGTTATTACGATCTGAGACCTTTCCCGCGCCCATAGCTTTCGGTGGACACTTTAGTCTGAAGCGCCTACCAAGTATCTTGACCTAGAAATATGAGCATATAAAGAGCCATCGAAAGCGCACTTGCGCTTAACCAAAAAGAGAAGCAGCCCTGGTGTAGGCATTTCTAAGTTGGGCTCACAAGCGTAGCATTATTCCTATTTGTCGCTCTTTATGCTCGTTGTATATGTTGGGATATAGTGAAAAGTAGCGCACAGCTTGTTTATAAGCATTAAAAAAAATATCAAAGGCGTTTACAATCCCCTGTAACGCCGAATTAGAGCGCAGCTCTGGAGGAGGAGGAGGGGAAGGTACGGAGAGGAGGGTATGCCCCTCCTCCTTATCCGTACTCTCCCCTCCTCCTCTCCTGCTCGCCCCCATTTAGGGGAAACTTTTCTCGCTAAATTTAGCGGGGAATAGTTTCCGCTAAAGTTAGCGGAGAGCTTTTCCCGGTAAATTTAGCGGGGAAAATTTTAAGTTAAATTTAGCGGGGGAATTTTGCGCTAAATTTAGCGGGGAAATTCTTTCTGCTAAATTAAACAGAGAAAATTTTCCGCTAAATTTAGCGGAGAAATTTTTTCCTCTAAATTTAGCGGGGAAATTTACCCGTAACGCAACGCGCGGTGACGTCATCTATGACGTGACTGGTAACCCTCGCGACGTCACACGCTACGTCACACGTGACGTCACGTGTGATGTCATCATAAGAAACCTTCCATAATGCTTCGCGCGGTTACGCCGACGGCGACGGCGACGCCGCTTAAGCCGGAAACGGGCGCCTAAGAGCTGCGCTCTAAAAAGTTTGCAGTTGTTATTGCAGGGTCACATATTTATCCCAGATTTGTCAGGCAAACAATTAGGAAAATTATGTTTTTAATTGGGAGAAATATACTCGTACAGGGATGTTTTGTTAATATGGACACCTCCGTTTCCGACAAAAGCGCATCCATAATGTGTGTTGTTCATAAAAATGTGACAAAAATGCATGTGTTTACCCATTTCGTCTCAAAAATGTTGTCTATATAACGGGATATACATAAGAGCGGAGTCTGTGTTAACGAGACATGACTGCATATATACTTACGTCTCCATTCATAAAGCAGTATAGCACAGCGACTGTGAAGCCCTGCGAAGAGACAGAACGTTAAGTATAAATAGCAACAAATCAAAAACATATTTCATAATAATGAGTACATTAGATGACGTAATACTAATTTTAATGGAATCATTTCTCTGACTAAAATAAGGGTTATATTTATGAATCGCGCAAAGTTTCAAGACTGTTGCTTGATTTTAGTCACTACACAGAGCAAGAACAGATGGACCAAAAGGTGAGAATCTCATAAAATTAGGGCACTAGAATCCAACCTTAGTGTGACATGTAAACATGAAAACAGCTGTTTCAGTGCATGCTACATGATGACCACTTCAGTGTATTTATGTTGGGTGGAATGTTGGCACAGTCGCCCATAGTTTAAGAAACGGGTGGAGTAGCGAGTGCCGCTGGTCTTATATCTCCTCAGCCAGTGGGACAGCGGCATCAGCAGATGAGAATGTCGCAGAGCCAATCAGGAGGCAGGAAGCGTGTATGCATTAGGCCATGCCCTGCTTTTCCTAGGCTGTCAGTGACTTTAGTAATCATCTCGCACAACACATATCACTGGCTTGTTTAAGTTGAGAAACGCGAAGCCTCCGGTACGAAGACAAAAACACAAATTTTTTGGTGAAGAGGGTTGTTCACCTGGGTCGGAAGAAGTGCAACTTGAAGGTAAGTGAAAATCGCTCGAGCTTCTTTCTGAGTGGGCTTCCAGATGACCAAAATGTACGTGACTCCAAGGAGAGGTATAAGGACCAGCAGCGCCTTGGCAGCTTTTCTAAAAGAAAATTGGACAGAAATAGTCGTAACATTTCATTTGGTTGAGCTCCTTCCGCAGTTTGCAGTGCTTTGACTTCCTCAGGTTTACACTAATTTGATTTCTGCGTGGCTACGCTAGGAATGCAGAAAGTCGTTAAAAGGGTACACGTGCCCAAACCGCTTAAGATGATGTGGGCTTATTGTTGCAAAACCCATTTGAACTGAACTTTCACATTTCAGCTTATCTCCTAAGAACGACGTGCTTTGTTTTAGTGAAGCACATTTTCGCTAAGTTCAGGTTTTTGAATGAACTACTGAGGCAGGCTGCTCGATACTCGGTAACCGAAAATAACCATACGGGGATCAAATTTGTTTCTATTCACATCCGCGGGGTAAGCGAATTATGTTATCTAGTAACTGTATGCTTGTGTGAATATTATAATTTATTTGTTCTGGTGTTCCTGTGAACTTATTTAAGTATACCTAGGTTACTTCCAAGGATGTTTCCTTTCTTAGTGTATTGTTGGAACTTGGCAGTGATATGTCACGGAATGCGCACAAAGACAAATAAATATTCGACAGACAACCAAACAGGCATTTCGAAATAAGACATAATAAAAGAAAAGGAAAACGCAAAGCGTCGTTGATAATTTTTTTAGGGGAATATTATATCATTGTGGAACCTGCTTGGTACTCTTAGGTTCACAGTTTCTAACTAGAATGGCTGTGAAAACAACAACAACAACAACAACAACAACAACAACAATAACAACAAGAACAACAACACTGCCCTCAATATCTATTAGGCAGTTGTCACCTTGATGTCATGTGAACAACTGGGATAATCACGGTTAAGATGTTTACGCAGCAGATTTATGAACAAAAATGTACTATTGATTTGTACAACCATATACCAGGAAGGAAATATTTATAATTTGAAAGCTATAGTTGGGAACTTAATATCGTTCAGAATAATTTAGTCACGTTTTCCCGATCATAAAGTACGTTTACTATACGTTTGGACATTTGAATTAACATAAATGTTAACGTCATTTTTGTTTCTTAATACGCTCTCGCGCGCTTAGAACTCCTTGCTCACCTGAGTATATTAATGTATTTCTGAACACCACGCGAAAAAACACGCGAATTTTGTTTATTTGATAACGCATGCAGGAAGATAATTTAGCATTAAAAAATATTCTTGTACTGGATTGTCTAAAAAAAATTAAGCACGTTCATAACAAAATACTGATAACCTCTTCTGATAGCCAGGACGAGGTAAAGAAGAGCTACATACAGAGATACAAACTACTAGAGGTTAAGCGCAAAGTTTTGTGAAGTGCCGAAATACAAAGTCACTTTTTGCTTAAAAAATTTATTGCAGCTTGCATTTCATAATGTCCTAAAAATAACAGCCTCACCTGTACTGCTGCGATTCTGCCGTAGTAGCTGCTTTTAGTTTTGTTATGAGCACCCACATGATCCCCCCAAGGAATATGATGTTCATCTGGAAGTGTAATATTTTATATAAGAGTAGCTTGCAATTACCGCACTGTGATAGAAACCGGACATTGAATGGAGTCTGAGATATGCATTCAAAGCAAAAAAAAAAAAAGTTGGGCCAAGAGGACATATTTTTAATTTAGGGACAATACTTACAAATGAAGCATTTTGTTTTATTTACATAATCTTGTGCCCGACTAATTTTTTGTTATAACTCTGCAAAAATAATTCCGGGAAGTATCATCCACGGATCACATACCGGTGATTTGTTATTACTACTATAATAGGATTGAGAGTATTCAGAAAGGTGCGCGTTCTTACCAGAAGTACTAACATGACAGGTGCAATAAATATGCAGTCATAAATATCCCGAAGCTGCCATATGCACCTGCAAACAAAAAACTGCATGTACATGTGAACTTCTTATTATCATACCTTAGAACTGATCCCGTTGTGTAGTTGACGAGAAAAAAAAATATAGCGAATATCATATTTCCTCACACATAAAATGAACGGACATAAAATATTTTTGCATCAAGATAGTGAAGAAGTTAAGATAAATATAAGCAACAATAAAGGTTCTAATACGAAGACTTTACGGAAAGAGTCATTGCTCAGTGTGTACAATTGACCGTCGGTTGCACATAGTGAGAAGGAAAATACTCTTTCTGAAGCGTCCATATATTAAAGTATCTATTGTTACTCACATTTATCTTTGCCTCTAACACTTCAGGAGTACACCCCACACGGTGAACACGCGACAGTGCCTTTTTCACTCGAATTTAGTTAGCGCACTTCAATGTTATTTTTATTCAGCATTGATTTTAGAGACACGAGAGTATTCCTTGATTTTACCCACAATCGTCTTATACTATAACAAAGCAGATCTGGCGATAATTTTGGTGTTTATACATGCCACCTGTTAAATCCACACTGTTGCACATCTATGTTTTTACCTGCAAGCCTCGGCCTACCCGGGGGAATAAGAATGTTTTAAAATGAACCGGGTTTGGTTCATTGGTTCATGCAGCATTTATTTTACTTTCTATAATTTTCAGCAATTGTTTTGTAAGTTGTTTATTTTTAATTAGTTGCACGGTATAGGCATACAAGCCCTAGAAACAGACATTTAAGTTCTGTGTGCAGTCATAATTTCTTACGTCAACCAGGTAATAAAAGTTGGTTGGAACGGTGGCGCCATCTTATGGTTTATTCTCGCAACTCGGAGACATACCATGGTCTCAATCTTTGTAACCGTTCTCGAGCTTGGACCTGCCGAGTACCCTGCCGAATTGTGATTCAATGATCTCGTCCAATTGATCGCTGGCATGTACTGCCCAAACGTTGCCTTTTGTTTAGCCACCAGGTGCGCTGGTTAGCAGCCAACCAAGTCGTCTTTTGTTTACTTCTTCGGGGCTATAGGTGATTTTTGTTTGTTTACATTAAATATCTTCTTCAATTTTAACACGTGGTACAATGACTGTGTCTACTCACATTCCCTCAGCCAAGTTTGGGTCATTGTGATTTGGGCTTAAGTAGGCTTTTGTTAATGCCCAAACGCAAACAATTAGAGCCGGTATACCTGCGAACAAATTCAGAAAAAGAAGAGTCGTTAGAATTTGTAAGAGTTTGAATACTCTCATGGTCAGAACACGCAACTGAAAACTAACGAAACTATAATTTTGCCAGATTACCGTCATCCGCTTACGAGACATGCGATACTAAAAACGACAAAAGAAAGCATAATAATAAATAATTTAAGGGGTTTCTTTGACAATCGACTAACTACATGTCACACAATTCTCAGGAAGACATAGAAGGTTTTTACCTAGTCCTTCATTGATCGAACTTTAATTCTATTGTTGTACTTATATCCCTTGTGGAACAATTTAGTGTGACTACTAGACGAAGTTGGAAATAACGAACGTTTAGTTCGGTGCTATTCAACAACATTGAATGGCCTGTACTTTCACTCTGACAGAAGGTTGTTGTTAATATTTCGGCACAAAATTCATATTATTATCAATGCGACACACTAAGCCGGCTAAAAAAAAAATAAAGTCTAAGTGTGAGTTCTCTCTTCCCAATAATGAATAAAAAAAGAGGAGTGCTAAAAATGTTCTTAGAAAAAATGTTACTCCAGTTCTGAAAATTAATAAATAAATAAATAAATAGGTGTGGTGTTTCCATTTTTTGGGAACATTTTTGACAAAATTATTTTATGTTTTATAGTTAGGGGCTCTAGTAAACATAAGAATGTTATCTGTAATAAATGTATGCTTATATGTGTTAGTGAAATATTGGTTCACTTGAGTTTAGAACTTAAAACGACTCCGAATAATGGTGTAAAAGAACGGATATTAGGTCACTTACCCCACCCAATGAACACATAGACGTGCATTCGCACAGCATCCACAGAGAAAGTTTTGACCACAAGAATGTAGAGATATAGTCCCTCGACGAACATCCAAAAGAAGTTTGTTCCCATCAGGTATGTCAACACGATGTACAGGAAGCACGCTGCCTGCAAATAGTTTCTCTCAATTCCAGTGAATTACGCATTCATAACGATCTGAATGGATGGATGAATAGACGGATGAATGCGATTGAATTCGTTCAATCAGCTACAGCTTGCGCAATCTAGCTGAAGCTTTAAATTTAAACCGATAACTGACATATATTTCAACAAACTAAGCTGAAGCCCTTTTAGAATATGTTTCTAAAATTAAAATATATGTAATTTGCATAAATTCTAACTGATATTATTTCAACCTGATAAATGTTTACTTGTTTTATTCCTAGTGCCGACATTTACAGTTTTTTTTTTTTTAAGCTTTACAAATTTGTTTAAAGAAGGTGTGAATGTTACACTTATGCGGTTTGTGCAGGTGAGTTATACACCTAAGTGGACATTATGTAGGTGGCTAATCTCTGTGATAAGTTGGATGAATAATTAAAATTTGTTAATTAACTTTTAAATTAGTGAAAATAGACATATGGTATCAATTAAAAGCTAAGTGAGCGTCATCGAAAACCACTAAATCAAGTCTTTTTAGAACGATTTAAAGCTCGTGGAAAACTTGGGGGCGCGCCAAAGTTACCACCCATGAAGCAGCCGCCTCGGTGGCTCCGAGGCGAGAGTGTCGGCATACGGATCCGCATGTGGCGGGTTCGAATCCCGGCCGAGGTGCCCGCAATCTGGCGGAGGCTTATTGCGGAGAAGACGCCGTGTAACCGAGCTTTCGGTTGCACGTCAAAAGATCCCCAGGTGGTCGAAATTAATCCTCAGTCCTCCGCTGGGGCGTGCCAGATGCCCGTCGTTGGTTTGGCACGTAAAACCCCCAAATTTTGACCACCCATGAAGCAGGCACAAAGCTAGCAGTGGCGGAACGGGATAATGATCTAATCATTCGCGATCTTCCATTGCTAGCTTTGTGCCTGCTTCACCAGTGGTAACTTTGGTGCGCCACTGAGTTTTCCACGAGCTTCAAGTCTTTTTAAAAGGATTTGATTTAGGGTTTTTCGATGACGCTCAGTAAGTTTCTAATTGGAACCATATGTATATGTTCACTAACTGAAACGTTAATTAACAAATTTAAATGAATTAGCCGACTTATCGCAAAGCTTAGCCACCCACATAATTTCCCCTTGACCGTATAACTCACCTGCACAAACCGCATAAATGCAACTTTCACGGCTTATTTAAAACAAAGCTATAAACCTTAAAAACAAAATTTCACTGTATATTTTCGCAAAAGGTTGTATGGACCCTCGATGCCACATCTTGATATTCTGCCCCCGATATTGAAGAAATGTAATATTTCAGAAAATTATAATAACGTCGGGCGCCTGGCAGGCAGCTGAACTAAACTTTTATTGTTTTCTTAACTACGCTTTATTCCCCAGAAAAAAATATAATGCTCCGCAATTTTTCCCCATGCTTATATAGATACGCACTGTAAGTCTCATGGCAAAATGTCATAATGTTTATATCTGTCTATACAAGTTCATTCTTGATAAAGAAGAGGCATCTACAAGTCGTCTGAAACAAACATACGACAACATACGCGGATTTGCAAAACGTGGCGCTTTTCATTGTTTGAGTCAGCATTTCCAAGTGTATTCAATACATTTACTATTGTTCTGTTTTGCGAATTACGGTACATTTTATTACATGATCAATAGGACAATGTACTACCACACACTAATTTTGAACATTCGATGCGGCAATAAACAATAAATATATGGTCATAGTTAGTTCATAACTGTCACCCAGAATTTTTATTGCGATAACATTTCCTTATTAACCGCATCAAATTCAAGACATTAACGTTACATCATCCCTGTTTAAAAAAAAAAAACAAGAGCAAAAGGTTCCACAGACAAACTTATCAGCGGCTTTTCTATGCTCGGAAAGAGAAAAATCTGGTCATATAGTATAAACGAAGCAACACTTTAAAAAGGCAATTACTATTAATTCTCCCAGTCATAGTTCACGATGTTTATCATGGAACTTAGAAAAACAGCGTAGTGTTGTTTTTTTGTGCGAAAATGGCCAGCTGAACAGACTAGAGCAAGGAATTAACCAATTTGCTCAGCTTAAGCCCGTTACTTATTATTTTATAGCGATTCGGTTTGCGCTCACCGTTTGAAAACTCGGCCATTGCTGAGACTGCAAACTTGCTGTTATAATCCATGTAATTGAGATGAGCAGATATGTTACCATCAGATTGACGTGAATCGTATTTCTTGAGCACCTGAGATCCCTGCAATGGGAAGTGCGGAATGAGGACATAAATATGCATTCAATCAAAAAACAATTTCAAGGAATCGAATTTTTTTTATTTTCGAAGCATTTCCGTTATCTAGAGTTTCGATGAACAAAATTGTGAGCATTACAATATGTGTCATGAAGATTTAGGATAAGTTAACTAGATATGTATTTAATTTTCTAAGTTACTAAAGAAAAGTAATTGAAGAACATTAATTCGTCACTAGTCGTCGCACATCTGAAACTTTTATTTATTCAGTTCATGAATTTTACTTTTACCTCCTGACGAAGGATGAATGAAAAAGAGCTATTAAGCTGTGGGAAATACTGATTAAAGATACCAATAACACTGAAATATACGACTAAGAAGACTTATTGAGACATTTCCTAATCAACGTACGCAGAAACGTTTGGTGTCTAAGTTGACAAAGAGTGTTTGTGCAGATTACAAGATGTTCAAAAAAAAATTACCCACCAGAATAAAACTACCAAGACAGGAGAAAATTGGAGTTTACCTGTAAAATGAAAATATCCAGATAGCCACTGTAAGTGCAGCAAAAGACAGAGAATATCCGATGTAGCACAACATGGTTTCATCAATCTGAAAATAAGTCAATCACATTAAGTTTTCTGTAAGCTACAAACCGATTTCAATTCACGTTAATCCAAAATATGCCATGAACAATATACACTCATAGTGCAGACAAACCAGCTTTTTTTAGTAAGATGGCCAATGACAACTCTTAGTTAACAAAGAAAAAATTGTTAGAGAACAGATGAGACTCCCACGGAAAGGTCGACATGCCCATGCATCGGGTTTCGCGCTCCTGCTCACAACTCTGCCCCCTACATACACCTATCCTCAAACTAAAAGTTGAAAAAACGAATATGTCTTGATTTTTGTTTCAATTTCGCCTTTAAAAAGTTGAATATGCAATCTTTTCTTATAACAAATGTTGAATGTTCAAAAATCTTTTCATGATCTTCATTTTTAATGAGACGCATAAGATGAGCTTCCGATATACCTTTTTGAGTCGAAATCATTTCAGTACCAGCTAAGAGCCTCAAAAAAGAGAGAGAGAGAGAGAGAGAGGGGTGTTTCAATTTATACGCATAGGGCTAAAGGTATAAAATATATTTTAAGAACCTAGAACAAATGCCTCAATTTATTTGAAGGGGTACAGATAATAGAAGATACCCTCCATAAGTATCCGGTTGTGTAAGTCCTGGACGTCTGATTAGAATAATATACTTATTATAAGTTTGTTCGAACCTTTGTTGTATTAATGCCATTAAGAAGAGGTCGGCAATTTGAGTAGTCGGAGCGATCAGCCCATGTTCCATTGGGCCAGCAATCCCTCGTGGCGTTCTCTGTGGAATGAATACAACAAACAGATGATCAATAGAGTCGGGTTGGAGAACAAAATTGTCTAATTATATTTATTTTCCTATTGGATGTGTTAATAATATTCAAATACACAATTTCATTTCATTTAAAAGGAACATATCAGGTGTACACCCATATATTTTAAATGAAACCCTTCAAGCGTTTGAAGATAGAGTGAGTAGAGAGGCGTACTGGTTTATATAACAAATTTTTGAAAACATGGAGGTGAAGGACCATAAAGGGGACATACGCAAAACGTCTCAATGCGTTTTGTGCTTGTCCAACGTTTCGTTCGTCGTCTCCGGTTAAAAAAAAAAAACAGAAAAAAGAACGTTTTAGGCTTATCTGTTACAATTGCAAAGAAGTATGTTCTTGTAAAGTTTCTGATGAATTTTACGAACACTGTTTTTACTCTTTAAAAAGACTGAGTATTCTTCTGATATTATTACTGACAGCTATCAAAATCGCGATATGCTTTTCATATGTGAAATGCATTTTAAGCATAAACTATACGTGAACTGAGCTATTTTTCTTATATATATAAAATAACGCAAATCACGTCGAGCAATCTTCCAGTGGTCGACCTTTCAAAACATAAGGTTAATCGCTGATAAAACTCGAAGAGAGACAGTTAGAGGCTTATCAAAAGAGAGCGCGAACTTCCAATTGACCCGACAAAAAGCGTTCTGCCCCTGAGTAAACGATGCAATGCGCAGATTTCACTTAGGACCATTATTGTCCGATCTGTTGCAGTCACAAACACTTAGGAGCGTATCCCGACATCATGAGAAACCCCATGATCATTCGGAGTCCGGTGTAGAGCCAGGGCAATTCGTGCGGAAATGAAAGCAGTCTCCATTAAGTGGTTATTTATTTTCTGTCGCTGCCGTTGATGCGTGTTCCATGTAATCTCCGGGAAATACCGATTGGCCTAAGAAAAGACCATGGTATTGCATGTTTAGCAGCGCGAGGGCCATTAGGCGACCACTTTGTTTTGTCTCGACGACCCTGCGACTATTGTTGGGCAGGGCTTATGACACTGATTGATTTTCGCTCTCCCGGTCCGTACGTCGACAGTCATTAGTCGTGGGACATTACTGTAGTTTTTGAGTATTAATTCGCATCATGTGTTTGAGAGTGAGTCGATTCCCCTTCTAGGTATACACAGCGGGAACAAGCATCCACCAGATTTTTTTTCTTCCAGTTTTTCTTTTAAAATTAGGCAGATGCCATCAAGAACATATTTTGTTAAGGAAGGCATATACTAACTCAATTCGGTAAATGAACCACTACAGTTGGGTGCTCGTCGATACTTTGTTTGAATAAAATTCACAAAAAAAAAAAAAAACGCCAATGCCGTTTTCAGGCTAACAGTGTTAAGCAGCGTACGTAGGAAAATATGATGTTAATAAATTCACTTTTTTTTTTAACGGAACCACTCTAACCTCTTACATTTGTTTAATTTGCATATAACGTGCTTTCATAATGTGATCACAGTTAGACTATGTTCATGCCTAAGTTCATTCCTATTTTTTTTTACTATATATATGGTACGTTTTAGCACGTTCTGTAGTCTCTGATATCTTGAGAAAGGCAGAGTATGGCTTATTATGCTCACGCCTACCGTCTCGTGATTCGTTCTTCGGTGTCCGTGTAAGTTAATGGCGCAACCTTATTTACTAATGGATCAGTAATAAGCTTCCGGGGCTCCCCCGGATCTGCGGTTCTTAAGCTCTGGGTGACTATAGACCAATGTCTGCTCTGTTCCATGGGCGCCGCCATGTTTCTTTATGCTGCCGCCATGACACAGTAGAGGGGGGGGGGGGGGAGGGCTGCGCTTTTTGCGAGACTCCGTTTTTTTCAGAAACCTTCGCACATATCGTAGTGCAAAAACGTCAAAAATGAATAATGACGAAGCGACAAGAACATACATCGATGCCAAGAGTGTCGTTAAAAGCAAAAATCTTTTTTTACGCACAGCCCCTCTCTTCGCAAGAGCCTGCGTTTGAGATTATTATTTCCCATTTTTATGGCCGTGGGCTAAGACTTCGGACACTGATTCATACGCGGAGAGAAACTGAGAGAGACGAGGAGACGAGAGAGTGCGGAGACGTCAGAACCCCGAGCTCTGATTGGAATGATTAGTGGGCAGACCTCAAAGCTAACTTTCTTTTGTCTCCACCACACTCGTCGAAGGCGTTCGAATGCAAAAGGCAAACGCCGGACGCTTGCACTTCGCGTTCTAACAGGTTCAACGGGTGCAAGGAAAGCAAGGGCAGCTAGCTGTAGGTCTATCCACTGATCATTCAAACAAGAGATCGGAGTTCTGAAGTCTCCACGCGTTCTCGTCTTCTCCGTCCCCTCGGTCTCTGCCCGCGTAGCTCGGAATCGTTTACTACATTCGACACGGTAAGCATACGTTCGTGAAACTATCACCCGAGAAGTACTTTCAGTACCTTGTTTCACGGCGATTCTCGTTAGTGATGAGGTTTTGCGTAAAAAAGAGGCCATGGCCTGCTAACTTTAGCGGAAAGGAAATTATCCCTTTATGTTTAGTAGTATAATTCTCACGTTAAATTTATTAGAGAAACAGTGTCGTTCAGACATCATAGTTTCAAGTGACGTCATGTAACATGACATCACAATATCCCTGCTAAGCTCAGCCGAGAAATTCATCCGTTGAATTTACCTGGGAAATTTCTTCATTAAATTGAGCGGCGAATCAGAGTGCCGTTACATTCTAACATTACGGTGTCAGGTGACGTCATGCGACACGACTTCACAATTTTCCCGCTAGGTTTTGAGAATAAATATTTTTACTAAACTTGGTGAGAAAATTTGACGTCATCGTTTGTGTATCCGCGCTATGAAGTTACGTGCCGTATGAACCGGCGATCGTTCGTTTATCATATCACTGATATATCAATGAATCCACATAATATCACAGTATCTCGTCATGCCATTGCGTAACACAACATCAACGTCTCACATGTTCACCACCCACTGAATTTAGTGGGGCGTAGTAGCTATAAACGCAGCATGGAACTGTGAGCAGCGGTGTTCAGCGTCTCGGCTACCACTGCGGGCAATTTAGCTGATACTGCAAGAAACCAGGAATTTTTTTTTTCGTTGCCGATCTCTTGAAGTTAATCTGGTTCCTTTGTGATCGTAGAAGCGTATACAAGTTTTCAGTCGTCTGAATACCACTCCAGAGTCCGTTTTAGACTCAACATCTACATATAATTATGCGAAAGTCATTGGAAAAAGGAGACCTTATGAAAAGAGGCTATTTTCTGCGCTCCTCACGATAATGCCGTCCAATATCACTAAACGGTTGTGTCGACCCCGGCGGCGGACCGGTAGGCTGAAACGACCAAGGTCACGCGGAAAAACACAGCGTCGGCCTTAGCACAAACCAAATCCAGCGGCCGAGCCAGCGAGGCTTTGCCATCAACATCGTTAGATTGCAACTAATCCACTCTCGGCTGGCGCCGGTCGGTTGCTTTCGCTGATGGACGGCGAAAGCAGAACGCAGGAAATAAGAGCAGTTGCATGCTGCGGCAATGGACGGCTATGGACGGCTATTTCCAGGGTCTATCGGAAACCGCGGCTGTCCGGGTGCCGGTCAACCTTTATGGTCTTAACTTTGTTTTTTTTTTTTTTGAACCCCCACGTTTATGTTTTTTTTTTTGCATTCTTTCTTGTATCTTGGTTTGCCATTATTTCTATTTAGAGTTACCGGAAGAAACAAAGTTAGGTACCGTAACTGCGGCGCCAGGGACGTGACGGAGGCGAAAGTAAAGCCATCCTGCCACTTACACGAATAAACTAAAAGTTGATAGTAAAGCTTTTGCAAAGACCCGTCATGTCTTACATACAGAGTACCGGAAGAATATAATTTGCCAAGAGGATCGCGGCAGGATACTCTAGTAATAGGAACAAAACAATGTTTGAGGCAGTATTTAGATACGGATTGCTTTTTTTTAGAAAATTGCAATTCCAAAGTTAAGACATCTTACTAAGTTATATGTATGAATTCTTTTTCTTTAAATTTTGTAGAATTAATTACAGCACTTTGTTGTTTAAATCTCATCAATGAAGTTGCGTAAAAAATGTGTTTGTATTTATTTTGGGCGTTGGAAGTAGTATATTTTGAACCCTTTGTATCTTAGTTTCGTGCCCACGTAATGCGTACACTGGAACTAATTACTTGGTTTCCACTTATTTTAGTCCGCTCCGAGAGCTGGCCGGACGAGAACCGCTGGGGAAAAATATTTATTGATTAATTAATTTTGTATTCTTTCCCCGCCCTGGAAATGAACTACGCCGACAGTCGGGGTACTACACACTGCTGTAAAGAGTTGCTCTGTCGCGTTTAAATTTATCGTCCTTACGTCACGCTGAATTTAGCGGATGGTGTTCACGGCACACTGGGGCGTCGGGTGACGACATGATATCAAGTGACATTGTTACCTCACGTGGCATCATGACGTTATATGACACTAAATTCCCGCTAAACTTAGCGAAGTTTTTTTTTTTTTTTTTACGTTAAATTTGGCAAACTAATTTTTCTGCTAAATTTACCTGGAAACGAGTGCCGTAACGTGACACTGCGCTAAAAATGCGATAACAATGTGGCTCCCTTCTACATTTAGCGTAAAAATGTTTTCTCTATACTTAAGGGGAAGTGTGTTACGTCACGAGACATTCCGACTTCGCGACGGAATGACACCCTGGTTTACCGCTAAATGTGGCGGATAAATTCTCCCGCTAGATTTAGCGTGCCACGACGTCCCCGAACCACTCATGGGACACGTTATGAAACCTGAAAAACAACGGCTATCACCGTATTAAAAAAAAAAAAAAAAAAAAACCGGACGTAGTTGCGACATTACTGTTTTTTTTTTTTAATCTTTTTGCGCGGTGAACTTACGGCTGGTGTCGTAGAAGACGCTGTTGA